TGCATTTGTCTGATCGTTAATGTTCATTAATGATATTTGGAATCTTTTCATTGACTTTCTGTATATCTTCTTTGAAAACATGTTTACTTAGATCCACTGCCCAATTTTCAGTCAGATTGTTTGGTTGTGTGTTTTGCTGTTGAGTTGATTGGGTTCTTTATATATTTTGGATATTAATCCCTTATCAGATATCGGTCGTGCAAATGTTTTCTTCTGTTCTGTAGTTTGTCTTTTCATTTTGTTGACGATTTCCTTTGCTATGCAAAAGATTTTTAGTCTGATGTAGTCCTGCTTTTGTGTTTTTTGCTTCTGTTGCCTTGCTTTTAGGGTCAATTACAAAAAAAAAAAATCATTGCCAAGACTGATGTCAAGGATCTTTCTTAAAGCAGATTCCTACTTTCATGTCTAGAGATAACTCTAGCGACCAAAACAGAAGTTAAGAAGGGCTGGGCTTATGTATCTCAGATGAATTCAAGACGCCTTTTAAAGACGTTTTTAGCTCGTGCTGTGCTCTGCTTAGCCACTCAGTTGTGTCTGACTCTCTGTGACCCCATGGGCTGTAGCCCGCCAGTCTCCTCTGTCCATGGGGATTCTCCAGGCAGGAATACCGCCCTCCTCCAGGGGATCTTCCCAATCCAGGGATTGAACCCAGGTTTCCTGCATTGCAGGTGAATTCTTTGTCTGAGCTACCAGGAAGGCCCAAGAATATTGGAGTGGGCAGCCTATCCCTTCTCCAGGGGATCTTCCTGACTCAGGAATCAAATGGGTCTCCTGCATTGCAGGCAGATTCTTTACCAGCTGAGCTACCAAGGATGCCCGTGTATTATTAAGTAATTATATGTTCCTTCTGATCCTCCCTAAGACTGTGAGCTGCACCTTATTCATCTTAGTTTCCTCATGTCTGATATTGTTTCAAAGACTAAGTACTCAGTAAATATTGTGTGTTAAGTGATATAAAATGGCAGCAATTATTTGGGCATCTTTTAAAAAGGGTTTTACATATGTAGTTTCCAATCTTTACAGCCTCCTTTCAGAATAGGAGTTTTCTGCCTTTTTCCAAATAAGGGTATTTAAGTTAACAAATTAAGCAGATTGCAGAAAGTGGTATCGCTAGTATGATATAAATCAAGGTTTCAAATATAAATTAATGTGAGATCGTGAAGCAGGTTTTACTAGTATAAGAAACTTAGAATGATGAAGAAAAAGTAAAATAAAAGGAGGACAGAAATGTTCAGTTGGTAGAAAATCCTTCTGTGTGGCCTTCAGCAAATGTTCCACTTTTACTGCCTCAGTTGCATTTTATAAAATGTAATAATGTCTTATTGCCTAAAGATGGCAGTTAAATTAGATAATCTCAGGGTCATTTCAGCTCTAGAAAAACAAATTCTTAACCACTATCATTCTTGGATTAACATGAAGTCGTTATCTAAGATGATATTGAAGTGTTTTTCATTTTTTCAAGTAAGAGAATTATACTGAGATATAAATACACTTTAAAATTGCCCCAGTTTGTGAGCTTTTCCCAAATATTTTATACACATTTAACTCAAACTTAGAATTCTTTAAGAGAGCACCAAGAGACACAAGGTTTCTAAAGCAGGTAATACAAACTTCTGGGAAGCCTGCTTTCTTTAATAAATTCCTCTTATTGGCAACTAAATAGTAATGAAGATGGAAGACTGAGAATGATTATGTTGAAATGACCCAGAGGCAGGTGTTGGGTCTCTGTTTCTTGAACAGAATCATGGAATTTAGAATGAGGACAAAAATAAAAACAAAGAGAGATGCTCTACTGAAAAGAGCTTGTTTTTTTAAATTCTTTAACTTAAGAGACAGGCAAAACTTAGAGTGTTTCTGTCTGGGGATAGGGGTCAAGAAAAAAGTGAAGCACATGTTGTTTAGTCATTCAGTCATGTCCAACTCTTTGTGACCCCATGGACTGCAGTGCACCAGGCCTCCCTGTCCTTCACCAACTCCTGGAGTTTGCTCAAACTCATGTCCATTGAGTCAGTGATGCCATCCAACCATCTCATCCTCTGTCAACCCCTTCTCCTCNCTTCAGCATCAGTTCTTCCAATGAATACTCAGAACTCTCAAGAGTCTTCTCCAACACCACAGTTCAAAAGCATCAATTCTTCGGTGCTCAGCCTACTTTGTGTTCCAACTCTCACATCCATGCATGACTACCAGTTAGGTGCAGTACTATGTCTATGCGTGGGGAGGAGGTGTGATGCTCATATATTTTTCTTGGTGCCAGGCTGTGATGCACAAAAAGCCCTATCAGTTCAGAAGACCAGGGCCCTCCTTTGTCTTATTAACCACGGGATCTGCAGCACCAAACAAGTAAGTGGATAATAAATAAATGTTTGGTGATTAATAAAAAAGTTACTGAATGAGTAAATGCAGCTAAATATTCTAGAACAAATAACAAAAACATGTACACAGGTATACACAACTTTGAGTGAGAATATATTTTCAACATGGCTTGAATCTGAATAGAGGCCAATAAATTTTAAAATATTAAAATGATCTAACATATTTAGGCCATAAAATGATCTAACATATTTAGGCCATATCTGACTTTTTCAAGGAAGCCCTTGGTATGACCATTGGCTTATAGGTAAAGGCCAAAGCAAGTCAGCATATGATACAGATTTTACTGGACTAGTCCATCCTTCTCCCAAAGGAGTGAAATATACAAACTTATAGTTTTAATCAGTTTTCATTTTAGAGCTGACATCCATCAATTCTCTATATAGCTTAGGCAGAGTTACTTGGTGAAAGCATAGTCTTGAAAGGACTGAAAACAGAACTATCATATGACCCAGCAATCCCACTCCTAAGCATATACTCAAGAGAAAATCATAATTTGAAAAGACACATTCACCCCACTGTTCATTGTAACACTAGTTATTACAATAGCCAAGACATGGAAACAATCTAAATGTTCATTAACAGAGGAATGGATAAAGATGATGTGGTACATAAAAAGAATGGAGTATTACTCAGCCATGAAAAATAACAAAATAACACCACCTGCAGTACTATGGATGGACCTAGAGATTATCATACTGAGTGGGGTAAGTCAGACACAAAAGACAAATATCACATGATACTGCTTATATGTGTAATCTTTAAAAACAAAAAGGTACAAATAAACCTACATGCAAAGCAGAAGTAGAGTCACAGATGCAGAAAACAAACTCAGGGGATGGGAGAGGGGTAAAACAGGAGATTAGGATTGACATATACACACTACTATACATAAAATAGACAACGAATAAGAACCTACTCAGTACTCTGTGATGGCCTATAGGGGAAAAGAGTCTTTTAAAAAAGAGAGGATAGAATGAAGTTGAAATAGTTGATAACATAGTTCTTTAAAATGGCACGCGGATATGGATTTTAGTCCGCAAGTTCAGATGTGCAAATGATGTAACTGTTTTTTATTATTCTACTAGGTGGCAGGATAAAAAAAAAAAAAGATCAATTCTTCCTTTCCCAGTGTGTGAGTATACACGTAAGTAATTCACTTTGCTGTACCCCTGAAACTAACAGAGTTTCGTAGATCAATGAGACTCCAAGAAAAATTTTTAAAAAACACACTCTGTCTTTCGTCTTCCTTCTTGCTTGCCTCACACTCTATCTTTCGTCTTTCTTCTTGCTTGCCTGTACTTGGCAGTTTTGTAGGGCATTTTGGTCAAAATGTGATAGATTCTAACATACCATCATCAATGAGAGGGTGCTAAATAAGCCATCTAAAGCACTGTCCCCAAGTCCCACCATTTTTGCTCCCCCTCCTCACAGATGGGAATGACTATAGAGGGATTTATGCGGCTGTGCCTTTAGGCTTCATAATCAGCATTCAAGTGTACCGTCTCAATTTAGGATTTGTCAAGTGTTATCAAAACTCACCAACCCTGACAGAATATGGCTTATACTCACAGCTAAAGTTTATTTTAATTCAGAGTATAAATAGAAAATAAAAAAAGCCAAGATTTTCTTTCTTCCTTTTTTATTAGAAGCTTAGAGGTCTGATATCAATCAGTGTTTGATAAACAGAGATGACAGTGAGAAAACAATCAAATAATGAACGTAAAATCCATCATCAATGCACAGTCATATTAAGTTACCCACTTCATTGCCCTGTCCTAAGACTTGTACAGACTCTAAGTAAACTTTGGGCTTGTAAATGAGAGAGACTGTTGACAAATAATAGGAGACAATTAGGAAAGTCTTTTTTCCTTGTCTAACTTCTATATTAGTGAGTTGGAAACACTGTCAGTTGCATAACCATATCCATTCCTGAACATTCCTTACTAACATTATCCTGATTTTATTTATTATAGCAATCAGCTCCAATATCCCCTATAGGTAGGCATACCATTAAAAGTTCAATGAGATGAACTGGAGCTTCCTGTGAAATCTTTTTATTTTCTAATAAAGACAGTCTAGCATATCTGGCCGGAGAAGGCAATGGCAACCCACTCCAGTACTCTTGCCTGGAAAATCCCATGGACAGAGGAGTCTGGTAGGCTGCAGTCCATGAGGTCACTAAGAGTCGGACACAACCGAGCGACTTCAGTTTCACCCATTGGAGAAGGAAATGGCAACCCACTCCAGCATTTTTGCCTGGAGAATCCTAGGGACAGGGGAGCTTGGTGGGCTGCCGACTATGGGGTCGCACAGAGTTGGACACAACTGAAGTGACTTAGCAGCAGCAGCAGCATATCTGACACCTACCATCCCTTTGAAACTTATTTTGAAGATGAACATAATGTCAGAGGTTGAGATAATGACACAAACAAGCATGACTGTGACACCAAGTAGGCATGGCAGAAATAACACGCTTGGCTGCCAGATGACATCCCTGAATGTCTCAGCCTGGTAGCTGTAAATGTCTCTCTCTTATTATTTTGAGAAAAATGAACAAAAATCTGTTTTCTAAAGCTGTAAAATTTTTTTTATTAGAAGGTTAAAACAAGCTAGGTGAAAAATACAGTGCAAGTCCTGACAATGGCATTGAAGTTGAAATAGTTGGTAACATAGTTCTTTAAAATGGCATGTGGATATGGATTTTAGTCCACAAGTTCAGATGTGCAAATGGTGGAACTGTCTTTTATTATTCTACTAGGTGGCAGGATGGAAAAAAAAAAAAAAAAAGTCTTCCTTTCCCAATTCTCCTCCTTCCTTAACAACAGGTGTGGAGTCCTATGCTGTGTTTGGGTCACGGAGTAAGGGAAACCATCAGTCTTAGCCACCAGTTCACAGGGGTTGAATGGAGATGTCCTCGTGCTTATCAGCATGACCTCTTCAAGTCCACAGGGGTTTTGCTGCCTTATCAGCACAGCATCTATGTTTTTGTGAGAGTGCCTGTTTTCTACTTGCCCGCATGTACACCATCCTTACACACAGTTTTTAGAATCTTGACATTTCCCGGGCAATGCTCCTAAGCAGACTGTGTGATGTTCGTTCTCCTTTGCCACTTGAAACCCTCAGGTTTCTACCTCCCTCCTTCCTCCTTTCTTCTTTCCCTCCTTCTCTCTCAAGGCCTCCAGGAAGAGTTTTCCAGGTGGTAGAAACCCTTCTCTTTTCCTGAATCATCAAGGGACATCTGTATTTCTAGGAATATTTTGCTATTTCCATTCCTTATTGCCTATCCACCATCCATAAGCATAATACTTTGTTAATTTTCCCAAGGAACTAGGCTTTAAAAACAGACGTTGGGTGATAAGTGAAGTCTGCATAAGGGGCGGGCTGAGAAGACAGAGGATGGAGAAGAGGTCGTGCCAGGATGGTCAACAGGAAAGAAACTGTTGTTCCGGTGCCCCTGACCTAACAACTGAGAATGCTGCAAAGATTCTCAGCACAGCTCTTCAACAGCAATCATGACATCACTGCCGCCGTCTTCTGGAATTCACTCTTCGTGGAAGAAGAAAGAGGACATCGCCTACTCACCATCTTTCAATAAGCCATCCAGGCCGGACAGGCAGCAACCGGGCGGTGCGGTCCTAGCGTCTCTGGCTACCGGTGTGTTTTTAGACGACCCGAAATGAAGTACTTCTTAAAACCGATCTGCGTTTTTCTTACTTATCTGGTCTGGGCTTTTGGCTTAATCCTGGCCCACAGCAGATCCTGGCGCGTGTGGGACTTTGACAGCGACATCATTTCCGTCGTGTTCATTGGACTCTGGGAAGCTTTCTACCGGCAAAAATTTAACGTGTCTGGCGTAATGGTTGAGTTACCGATGTACAGCGTGATCAACTCGAGCTGGGTCGTTTCTAATGAAATCTCGTATGGGCAGGACCTGATGCTGCTGGCGAATTTTATGATGTCGGTGGCCCTGATTTTTAGCTCGGTGGCGCTTCTCGTCAGCAGGGTCAAGGGCGCGTACCCCGATTTCCTCCGATTGTGCTACAGGGCGTCTGCGCTGTTGCTCTCCCTCAGCTGCGCCTGTGCCACGACCACAGTGAGCTGGAATTTCACCGTGGATTTTTATGGCCAAACCACCCTCGACTTTCCAATCACCTTTCCTCTTGAAAGAGAAATGGTAACAAAAAAACATCTCTCCTATGTTTTCCCCCTAGGAATCACAACTTCCATCCTTTTGCTAGTAACTGCCCTCCTATTCTCCTGTGAAAGGTGTTCAATAAAACCACCGAAACGGGTGAATCCCCTGGTTGTGTCCAGATGTTGAAGAGGAAAGGTCTGAACAGTGAGTTTTGGAATGGCCGGCAGTCATTTTCTTGAAGACATTTCCATACATACATCCTATTGTCTTAATCTTCTATTCTTTTAAAATAAAATATAATTGTCGTCTCAAAAAGAGCAAAGACAAAATGCTGGGTGCTCTTTTGGTTTCCATCCTCGCATGATGCCCCCTGTGAGGCACTGAAGCCACTGTCAAGCATGGATCAAGCACGCTGCTTAAGTAGAAGACTGTAGAATAGGAAGCTAGAGAGAGGTAATGAAATCAAAATTAAAAAGGTTACTATATGGAGATGTAGGTAGGGGTGGTGATGGGGCTGGAGTGGGTTACACAGCTAATGGTGCCAAGGATGTGGGCATTTTATGAACTGGGCCAGACAAACTCTCCTTAAGCCATTCCTTGGGGTCACCAGGTAGCTTTTATAGCCAAGTTTGTGTCTCAGGGCCGCTGTTCAGGGCGTGGAGTAGCAACCCTCCAACCTCTGCCTCTGATATCACGTGGTCTGCTTCCCTCTGTATATGCGCATCACTTCTGGATCACTGTCTCCAAATCTCTCCCCTCTTATAAAGATGCCAATCAATGGATTTGGGGCCCACCCTAACCCAGAATGACCTCAATTTTAAACTTGATTACATCTATAAAACCCCTATTTCCAAATAAAGTTTGTGGGTATATGGATAGAACTTCAGCATATATTCTTCAAGAATATAATTCAACCCACATGAATCAACATGTTTCTTATTTTTAAAAACATTTTGCATTATGGCTTCTATTATTTGCAGCTGAAGGCATGCTGGTCAATATTCCCTTCCTTCACCTCCTCACAGATTTGGGATACTCATATTTTCCCACAAAATTTGGCTTACCTCATCCAAATTAGTATGAGTATTAGACTGTTCTTAGTTCGTTACGCTCTGGATGCATGTGAACTGTTTTTTTCATCATTCCTTGTAAGCAGTTAGCGGCCTCCCTTTGCCTATCACAATTCTGTTGGCAACATTTAGCAAGGAACCTGATATATATTTTTTGTTCTGTAAATATTTGTTGAGTGAATAAGTTAAATAGAATTTGAGAAATACATGAAAGCACAAAGAACTTTTAATCATCCAAAATACCACTACCCATGTGAAAATACAATAAAAAAAATTTGTGTAAATCCTTCCAGCACCTTTATGCAGAAGTTTTTTTTTAAAAAAAACTCTATAATCATCATGAGTGAGTCAAAGTTGCTCAGTGGTATCCGACTCTTTGTGACACGTGGATGGTACCCCACTGGGCTCCTCTGTCCATAGAATTTTCCAGGTAAGAATACTGGAGGGCTTTGTCATCCTCTTCTCCAGGGGATCTTCCCAACCCAAGTCTCCTGCATTGCAGGCATATTCTTTACCATCTGAGCCAGCAGGGATACTGATTTATAATTGTGAGTCATACCTTTTTCATTTTATATAAAACAAACATTTTTCTATGTTATTTCAGTGTCCACAAACTTTTTAAGTAGTTGTGTAAATTTCATTCAATGATTGTGTGAGAATGTACTTAGCATTCCCTGAAGGTAGGAGATTTAGTATGTTTTTGTTATTTTTTAAGATTTTCTTAAATTTATTATTTTTCTACATAAACATTTTTTTTTCTATTTAACATCAATAGAAAACTGACTTAGTAAAATTTTAAAGACCCTGAAAAATGCAGGAATTCAGGTCTATTTTATGGACATGAAACTGGAGGAAAACACATCAGATTAGGAAGCAAGCGAACCGTGGACATTCAAGAGGGCACAGCAAGGAGACGAGGCAGTGAGACCCGGCATCCCAACCACGGGGTCGTTTCTCTCTGTGAAACGTGACTTTTTCTCAAGCCATGGTGTCAGAGCCTGGTGGCACTCCAGGTCTCATCTGCCTCCCAAGAAATTAAGAAGAGACAAACTCAAGTATAACACACAGGAGTAGAACGTACTATAATTTTCTCTTCTTGGTACCCCATCAGTGAATGCATTTACTATGATGTACTTGTTTAGCTTGTTTCAGGGACATAATCAGGAGTCCCATGCAAGTAAACCATGATAATGCCACCCTTGATAAAAGACTTTTGGTGTAAAGAATTTATACACTTTAAAGAAATAGAATTAAGAATATAGAAAAGAATTGATAGGCTGAGCCTTACATTCTCAGTATAAACTTAAAGTATTAAGTAGATTGAAATCAAAGCAGTGGTGTTTGGGCTCTTTCCTTTTTTTTATTATTATTATGAATTTATAGTTACAGTTACCTTTTATTTTTGACAAGTTGTTCTTAATAAACAGTAGAAGACAGGATGGAGCAGGAAATGGCAACCCACTCCAGTCTTCTTGCCTGGAGAATCCCATGGACAGCAGCCCCCCCCAGGCTCCTCTGTTCATGGGGTCACACAGAGTCAGATATGACTGAAGCAGCTTAGCATGCATGAGTGCATTGGAGAAGGAAATGGCAACCCACTCCAGTGTTCTTGCCTGGAGAATCCCAGGGACAGGGGAGCCTGGTGGACTGCCATTTATGGGGTCACACAGAGTCGGACACGACTGAAGCAACTTAGCAGCAGCAGCAGTAGACAGGAACAAAGCCTCACTTGATATTACGGTGTATTGCTAAACATTTTGTTCTTTTGTCCTTTCAACTAAACTCAGCATTTCATCAGTAACCCTATCATGACGGTGAAGGAGAGCTCTATAGGAATAAATTCAGTATCAAAATTGACAAGTGGGTCTAGTCCTGGCTCTGCCTCTTCCCTGCTTTGTGATTTAGAACAAAACATATTGTAGTTTTTTTTTTTTTTTTCCTGGACTTTGGCTCCCACATTCACAGATTGTAATGATTGGACATGATCATTCTTTAGATGCACAGCCTTCTAAAAATCTGTGATTCCAAGCAATGCATGATGTAAAGCTACAAAACTAATTTACATTTGTTGAATATTGATTCTATCTTGGCATTAAGGTAATAAACCATAGTCCCAAAGAGTTAATTTTGAAGAGTAAACTGCCATTCAATTCACTGAAGTAGCCTGGGTTCTTGGCAGTCAGATAAATGAAAGCTGAAGTTGTTTACAACAAAAAAATCCAACATCCTTGAAAGTTCTCCATGGTTTATTCTCAAGAAAAAAAGATATTTCTCAAATCCACATATTTCTTCTGTAAAGAAAACAATTTGGATCCAATTGTATATGATCACAGTGCATCTGTCAGAGGTAAAAATGTTAAGGGAGACTTTCTAAATATGTCTTACAAATATTTTAGAAATTAAAAGCCTGGCACCATGGCAATGGAGAAATAAATAAAAGCAATGATATTCAGATTATTAAGAAATTCTTGCATTCATTTGTATATAATCTGAACAGTTTTTCTTTACTGAACTGAGGTATTTTAACATGAAATACCTCCATATTCTGCCTCCAGGACTTTAGGAAAATGGACTCCAAGATTATTGCTGTTCTAAAGAGGATACACAGGGTGGTGCCTGTTCTTCCAAGAGCCTGCACTGGCAGATGGCTCATATTTTCTGTTCTCTCTTTTGTTTTCCAATGCTGAAATGTAGAAAGCACAGTGTTGTAAATGATCCTCACATAACTGAGGGAGTGATGCTTCTAACAATTTACAGATATTCAAGTTCAAACAGCCGGGCCCTGGGTATATCAAATGTCATCCAGCCACTAGAAGTTTTAGTAATTATTTCAGGTAGCTGGTTTTGATTACAGCATAATGAGATGATGCTAATACCTGTTCTACAGCTCATCAGGTTGTCCTCTATAATTTTATTAAAAGTTAATAGTTGGTGGGGAAACCACTTTAGTGTCAACAGTCCCCTGTCCTTTACTACTTTTCAGCCTTGCATCAAACTCTAGTACCTGACGAGTTCAAATTCTGGCCACTCCTATTCCTCTGCAAAGCTTTATTTACCAGTGAGATGTAGGACCACGGCCAGCCTTTGGAGGAATATTAATACCTGAGTTCTAATTGCAAAACCAATAGTTCCAAGTAGTAAGGCTGTTAGTAAATTCTTTCACACTTCTGAACTTCCGTCTCCTATTCAGTAAAATGGGGATTCTTAGACTATCTTAAGCTTGCATGGTTTCTGTAAGGCTTAAATGAAACAGTACATGTGGAATGATCTATCCCCGTGTCTTAATAAAGTTCATTGGAATGAAATGGGACCTGGAACAATAGCTACACATCAGCTTCTAGAGAATAGCCAGCCAAGAAAAAAGACTAACCATTAAAGACAATGGGAACTATTGTTAACTCTTCTCCTTTAGCGGCAGTCAGATTTCTCTCTCATTTATTCTGAAGTTTGTTTCTGCATAAGGCAAACTTGCTGTAGAATAGCCTGCCTTAAATAGATAAGTATGAAAAAAGCAAAAAACATTCACCGTAAAGCAAAACCTCACTTGATTCTATATTCCCCTCCAGCTACTACTGACTTCCTCATTTCCTCTTTGTAGCAAAAGTTCTCAACAGAATGACAAATATTTGCTGCTTCACTTCCTCATCTTTTACCTTTAATTAATATTTTACCCCAAGCAATCCAATAAAACACAGCAAAGGACATCAAGACAGGGAGAACATTACCTGGATGGGGGTAAAAATCTTCAGACTTTAATATAAGAGTGAGACATACTGGTGAAATGGCCAGAATCCAATTTATTTGCTGTTAGTAAAAATGGACAAATAGCCTAAGCCATTTACCTTATATTTACTTTAGATACTCTGTGGCTTAAGATATACATGATATACATATATATATATAAGATATATATATGATATACAAGATATATACATACATATATATGATATATGTAATATACATATGAGATACAAGATATACATATATATGAACTAAACTCTGCTTAATAATTTTTTAAAAAATTGTACATTTGTAATATATTCAGGATTAAACATATGACTTATGTAGAATGATTTAAGTT